ATTTTTTATTGGGATAAATTTTTAAATGTTATTATTAAATATTGTCTTGTTTAACTGGTAATTCAGGTATCCGGACGCTTCACATATCCGCACAAATTGACTGGGAACCAAAGCGTCCCGATAAATGAGGCTCCACTGTATATTCAATTCTGTATGAACTTATTTGGGGGTCAGAGGTCATAGAAGCTACATGCTACATGCTTGATCATGTAACCAACTCAGTTCATTTCCCAGAAAACATTTCAACATTGCTGTTTATTTCTTAATTAACCATTGTTACAATAAGCTATGATTATATACACACTGACAGTACATGATTGATACATTTTACACCTCTTGTATTTACTTTTAATCATGTTAATATCTACCTAATTCTATCTAAATATACCTGTGGTTCCTTTCTTCTTCCAAACACATCCTTTAACTACTATCACCCTTATTGTACTTTTCAACCACGAATGTTTATCAAACTTTAAAAAAAAAAGAAATTTGTAATCATCAGATTAAGACCTGAAAAACAAGATGTGTTTGTGAAACACTATGCACTTGACAGTAACTAAGTTCAAAATGATATTTTAGCATATAGGTCACAGTCAAGGTCAAAAGGTCATTGACCTTGGTGCCATTTGAAAGAACTCGATTAGTTGAGTATGCATAACAAATATGAAGTCTCACGGTTCAAAAGTAATAGCAAAAGTTAAAGTTGACGACAGAGAGAAAAAACAAACAACAAAACTGAGAAAGAGACTGACAGGACAAAAACAATATACACCCTGATCTATCATATAAAAAAGTGTTGTAATTCAACAGAGCTCAGCAGCAATAAAGTTTGAAAACAAGAGGCCCAAGGGCCATGAATCGCTCTCTGATAAATTGTACAATCTATCACTTCTATTAGAAACCTCCAACTCTATTAATATCATAAGGCCCAAAATGCATCAACTTACAAAGTTTGATAATATTTAGCCAGTTAAGACTGAAGATATTATAATATGATTATAAAATACCATTAGTTGATCACAGTGACCTACCTTTAGATTGAAATTTTCTGAGGACTCAAGATACATTAATTGACAAAGACTGATGATTCTAGTTAAGTACCTGAGATAATCAAAAGTAGGTCACCATGACCTACTTTTTGGTCAACATTCTCTGAACACCCAAGATGCATCATCTGAAAAAGTTTGACGATTCTAAGCCAATTAGTACCTGAGATAATTAAATATTGCCATCAAATGTCAAAAGTAGGTCATGGTGACCTACTTTTAGGTCGACGTTATTAAAAGACCCATAAATGCCTAAATTGACAAAATTTTATGATTCTAAGCAAATAAGTACCTGAGATATTCAAAATTAGGTCACCGTGACCTACTTCTTGTTGGACATTCAATGAAACCCTAAGATGCCTCAACTGATAAAGTTTGATAATTCCGAGCCAATAAGTACCAGATATAATTAAATATAGTCATAAAATGTCAAAAGTAGGTAACAGTGACCTACTTTTTGGTCCACATTCTCCGAAAACCAAAGATGCCTCAACTGACAAAGTTTGATGATTTTTAGCCAATAAGTGCCTAAGATACTTAAATATAGCCATAAAATGTCAAAAGTAGGTCACAGATACCTACTTTTTGGTCGACAATCTCTGAAAACCCAAGATGCATCAACTGACAAAGTTTGATGATTTTAGGTCAATAAGTACCAGAGATACTTAATTATAGTCACAAAATGTCAAAAGTAGGTCACCATGAGCTACTTTTTGGTCGTCACTCTCTGAAAATTCAAGATGCATCAACTCACAAAGTTTGATGATTCTTAGTCAATAAGTGCCTGAGAGATACTTAAATATAGCCATAAAATGTCAAAAGTAGGTCACTGTGAACTACTTTTTGGTCGACAATCTCTGAAAACCCAAGATGCATCAACTGACAAAGTTTGATGATTCTAAGCCAATAAGTACTGGAGATACTTAAATAAAGCCATAAAATGTCAAAAGTAGGTCACCGTGACCTACTTGTTGGTTGTCACTCTCCGAAAACCAAATATGCATCGACTCACAAAGTTTGATGATTCTAAGCCAATAAATACCTAAGATACTTAAATATAGCCATAATATGTCGAAAGTAGGTCATCATTACCTATATTTTGGTCGACATTTTTCAAAGACTCAAGATGCATCTACTGACCAAGTTTGATGATCTTAGGACTGAAGGTAATCAAAATATGAGTTTTGAACAATTTCAAAACAAATGTCGGCAAAATTCAAAAAGTAGGTCACAGTGACTTACTTTTTCATAAATATGTTTTTTATGTCCCAAGATGCATCAAAGTACAAGATTTGATGATTCTAAACCCCCCAGTGTCTGAAATAATGGGATTTACTGTTTTTGAAAGGATAAGTCATAAAGTCTAAAAATTAGGTCATGGTGACCTACTTTTAAGTTGACATTGACAATTGTTTGAGGACCCAAGATGCATCAACTGACAAAGTTGTATGATCATAGGCCTTAAAGTGCCCAAAATATGCCTTCAAATCAATTTGAAAACAAATCCCTGCTTTTGAGTTAAGGAGGCTGGGGGGTCAACATATAAACCAAAAATTAACCACCAGAATTAACTTATTTTTTTAGATATGGTATATTAAGCTGTCATCTATTATTTGGCAAAGAAAAAATTCCTATATTTTAGTTTTAATTTTTTTTTATTTTTTATATATTTATATGGAGCTCTTCTTTTAAAGGAGATCGAAATAGTCTGAAAATGGCTGCCACCCCCAGCCTCGTTAACATGATGTGAAGTCATAAGATGCATCAACTTACAAGATTTGATGATCCTTGTCCTTATAGTAAGCAATATATGTAGACACGTTTTTATTAATTGTAAATTTAGGTCAACTTTGAAGTGACCTTGAGACCACGCCCTTTGCCCCAGGGTAATACCCCGTGCAAATTTTAATCTTCAACATATCCTGATCCTTGCATGTAAGTTTGGTGAAAATCTGCCTGGTGGTTATGGAGAAGATTTTTTTGTTTTTTTTTCCTGATTATCTCCCTTTGTTTAAGGGTCCCAACCCTTATTAGTCCCCTACGGTGAAACCGGGAGGGAATATAGGTTTCCTCGGCGTCCGTCTGTCTGTCCGTCTGTCTGTCCTCGTCAGTCTGTCCCACTTGGTTTTCCGCACTTTTTTTCTAAACGCTTGCAGATATTGAGCTGAATTTTGGTATGTGAGTGTATCTTGATGAGTTACAGATCAATTTTGAATTTCGCTTGGCTTCATTGATTTTTGACAGATATTATGGCATTTTGAAAATTTTTCTTAATCGCTAAATTAAGATCGGGTTCGAACTGCGCTAACTTCCGATTGTCGACAAAAATATGAAGTGAGGAAAAGACGGTGGAGAAATGAGTTAAATTTTCCTCTTAAAGTGGATTATTTTATTAGTTTTAAGACATTTACAACTTGAAAATCTTTCAGTTTTACTTTGGACATGACTTTTGCTTATTATAAAATGACATCATAAAGAAAAAGGGGAACCCGGTAGGGGACATGTATTGCTTATGCAATACTCTCAGAATGCTTGTTTTAGTATAAAAGGTAGCCCTTGGGCCAAGGATACCCTGTGACAAATTTGGTACCGATTGGCCAAGGGGTTCTTGAGTTATGGCCCATATTCTAAAAAGTTTACGCACACCGCACAAATGGTCATAGCATTAGCTCTTTGAGCCTTTGGCTCAGAAGAGCTACAAAACCATTTTAGCATATAGGTCACTTTCAAAGTCACAAGGTCATTGACATTGTATTAATTCAAAGAACTTGATTAGTCAAGTATGCATACCAAAAAAGAAGCCTCTATCTCTCGTAGCTCAAATTTATGGTGAAGGTTAAAAAAGCTACCGTATAAGTGGAAATTTTAGCGAGACGCAAATTTAGCAATTTGTCCTTAAAAACTGGTAATTTATTTTTAGCGAGATGTTATTTTAGCGATCTTAAAATGCATATTAAAGGAACTATTACAAAAAAAATGCAATTATTTTTTAGCGATATTCAATTTTAGCGACCTCCGCACCATCGCTAATAATGTCAAAATTAAATCCTCACTAAAAATTCTACTTATATGGTATTTTTAGCATATAGGTCACAGTCAAGTTCACAAGGTCATTAACCTTGATGTCATTTGAAAGATATTCATAAGTAGAGTATGCATACTTAATATAAAGTCTCATCTTTTGTGGTTCAAAAGTTATGATGAAGTTTCAAAATACTTTTTAGCATATAGGTCACAGTCAAGGTCACAAGGTCATTGACCTTAGTGTCAATTCAAAGAGTTTTATTAGTGAAGTATGCATACCAAATATGAAGTCTCTAACTTTCATGTTTCAAAAGTTATGGCAAAGGTTAAAGTTTGAAGACAAAAAAAATTATTTTTATAGGTCAATCACAAGTTCATTGACCTTAGTGTCATTGGAAAGAGGTTAATAGTAAAGTATGCATACCAAGATGAAGTCTATATTTTTAATGGTTCAAAAGTTAAGAAAAAGGTTAAAGTGTGTAGAAAAAAGCTATTTTTTAGCATATAGGTTAGTCAAGGTCACAAAGTCACAGGGTCATTGACCTTGGTGTCATTTCAAAGAGCTTTATTAGTGGAGTATGCACACAAAATATGAAGTTTCCATCTTTAATGGTTCAAAAGTAATGGTGAAGATCAAAGTTTGCAGACAAACAGACAGACATACAGGACAAAAACAGTATACACCACAGATCTATCAATCCGAGCGGATAAAAATTGGAAATTTTAGGATACCATCCATGTACATAAAATGATGTATTTAATAGCGCAATGGGTATTAAGTTTTTGGTATGATCATGAGCTATGCACGTCCTTGCATCATATTGGCTATATAAAAAAATATTTTTAACTGTATTCATGAATAAGAGCATTGTTATCAGCACAAAGCTTGCTAAAATATGAAGCCCGCTTTTTTAAGTACACATACAGTAATCATATTACACATTGAAATCAGTGAATATTCGATTTTTGGAGTTTGTTATCAAATGAATATTGCTTCAGAATCTGCAAAATTTAGTAAAACAGGAAGTCTGCGAGTCATTAATGCTCACTAGTTTATAGTTTCAAAGTAGGTTATTCACAATTTTTTGAATTTATGATGTCACAAACTAGTCTGATTTTGCATTATTTTTTAGAAAAAGGACAAAATGGACAAAATTTCAACAATTTTATCTATAGAATTTATAGAGTGCAGGTCTGCTCTGGAACAATATTTGCATATTTAATTGATATTATTAATCTACACATTATATATCAAAATACTGAGCCTGCATGAACAAACCTGCGCTCAGTGATTTTCACTCAAAATATTGACACAATTTATACAAAATTTTCCATAGAAATCATGGAAATTTTAGATTTACGTCATTTTCCTGATGTCAAATCAAACATATTGCTGATAAAGACAACCAGTGCTATGAAGTCAGCATGTATCCCCATGTTTTAAAACATAATCAAATCTTACTCCTTCAACAGGTCAAAGTTTTATTTTGGGAGCAAATATTGGTTACTATTGAATAAAGTTCTTTGTAACTGACATATAAACAGAAATTTGACATCTGATTCAAACAGATATGAATCCAACCAGATGGCATGCCTACAGTGTAACCAAAGGCCGCTAAAATTTCAAGCATCTACAATGAGTAGAAGATGAGAAAACTGCAACAAAATTTTGTTACAGACAGACCCACAGATAAACAGGAAGTTGAAAACAGATTCATACAAATATCATGGCATGCCTAAACAAAGACTATGCTAAAATTTTAAGCATTTGCGGTGAGAAAACAGACAGAAATTTGTTTTGGACTGACACACAGAAACACAGACAGACATACAAGGGTAAAACAGTATTCCTCTTCTCCTTCGAAATGTGGGCCTTGGGGTATAATAGCAGGTTAGGTACCTTTTCTTATTCGGGATTGTAGGTTCCGATAAATATATAACTGAAAGCCCTGAATTATATTTTAAATTTTACCCTTACATCCTTACAACATGTTACGCAAGAAAGATCATGAAAGATCAAGATATTTCTAAAGAACAATTCTTTTTAAAGCTACCTTATCTGACTGGAAGACAGTTTTTCAGTTCATATTTCAATGTAGGGGGGGATATTAACCAAAACATTGCATTTTTTAAAAGCAATTTTGTATTTTTTCAACAAAGAAAAAAACTTAAGACAGAAATATAGGTCTTGATTAGATATGACATTAATAATTTCAAATCGCTTACATCTTTCTTCTTGCTAGAAGCCAGGCTAAGGATTACCTCCCCTGTCTCATCTATAAGGGTAATCTCTTTTCTATAAAATCTCTTCATCATCCCATTTTGCTTTGGCTCTGGTTTTTTAGTCTTTTTCAAGATTGCCAATATATCTGGAAGATTTTGAACACCAGTTTAAAATATTGATGTATATATTTACAAGCAAATTGAAATTTATGAGCTCCCCCCACCCCCTGCGGATGCAGTTAAAGGTACATACACACAAGATTGCCGCTTTTCCTAAGTATTAAAAATAAAATCAAAATTTGTGAAAGTGCAAGGATGTGTCAATCAAACCCATCCAAAGTCTAAATATCTTTTAGATGAAATAAGAATTTTAATTCATTTTCATGTGAAATGCGATTACAATATATAAGTCTTGATATTCTACAGAACTGATAACTTCAAATCTGTGTCTTTGCACCTTTAAAACCTCACCAAATTTCTGGGCATCCAATAAATTCTGAGAGGCCTGCCGAACCTCCCTCAGACATGTGGGTTTCAGATTCAAACCTCCATTTCTGCTTGTACCACTGCTATTCCCTGCTTTACTGACTTTCTTTTCACAACTTTGGACAGTTTTTTTATCAAGACAAATGATTTTTCCATTAGATGCATCTTGAAATTCTGTGCCTTCTGCAAAGTGAAGCTCATATCCATGGCCCACATTATTTGTTTTGTAGACATTCTTAATTTTGGCTCCTTTAATATAATATTCCTGAAAAAAAAAAGAACATGATCTTTGATCTTCATCCATGATCAAATCCTAAGGTATCAGCTGGTAGTTAAATAATAAGTTAGAACCTTTTCTTTCCAAGGAAGCTACAAGAAAGTAAAACTTACATGAGGAATGCCAATTATAAACACAGGGAAGGTATAAAATTATAATTGATACATGTTATAATTGACAAGAGGCCCATGGGCCACATTGCTCTCCTGAGCAATGTAGCTAGGAAAAAAGCATAAATCAATTTATTATTGAAAAGTTAAAACCCAAAAGTGGTCCCAACCAATCCTTAAAAGGGAGAGGGTATGATTTGAACAAACTTGAGTCTACACTAAGTAAGGATGCATGCATATTTCTTTAATTACCTGGCTTTATCGTCCTTTACATTTGAACTTACATTGTGGCCCCGCCATACACCCAGGGGTCATGAATTAAACAAAATTGAATCTACACTATGAATAGGACTAATTATGGCTTTGCTATTCTTGAGAAAAAGATTTTTAAAGATTTTTTTCTACATGTCTCTATTTGAAATACTTGGATTCCATGTTGTGGACCCACCCTACCCCAGGGGTCATGATTTAAACAAACTTAAATGTTCACTTCTTGAGGTTGCTTCCATAAAAAGAGGCCCAGGGGCCACAGCGCTCACCTGAGCACATCTGGCTTGAATTTAACCCCCCCTCCCCCAGGCGTTCATCATTTGAACAAACTAGAATCTACACTACCTGAGGATGATTCCATATAAATAACACTAATCACAGCTCTGAAGTACTTGAAAAGAAAATTTTAAAAAGTTTCCCTATATATCCCTATGTAAAACTTGGTTCGGCCATTTTGGCCCCACCCTAGCCCCGGGGGTCATCATTTGATCAAACTTGTATCTACACTACCTGAGGATGATTCCACATGAATTTCATCTTTCCTGGCCAGTGGTTCTGGAGAAGAAGTTTTTTAAAGATTTTTCCTATATATTCCTCACAGGCACTTGTTTCTATAATAAATTGTTGACCTATAGTATAATAATAACATAAGGAAATGAGGAATTATTATTATACTATGGGTCAAAACTTTATTATAGAAACAAGTGGCTGTGATATTCCTAAGTAAAACTTAGGTCGGCCATTTTGGCCCCACCCTTGCCCCGGGGGTCATGATTTGAACAAACTTGAATTCACACTACCTGAGGATGATTCAACATGAGTTTCACCATTCCTAGCCCAGTGGTTCTTGAGAAGAAGATTTTTTATAAATGTCATTAATTTTTCTCTAATTCATAATTATCTCCCCTTGGAAAAGGGTGTGGCTCTTCATTTGAACAAACTTGATTCCCCTTCACCCAAAGATACTTTGTGCCAAGTTTGGTTGACACCAGTGGTTCTTGAGAAGAAGATGAAAATGTGAAAAGTTTACGACGACGACAACGACTACGACAATGACAGACAACGGACAAATTTTGATCAGAAAAGCTCACTTGAGCCTTCAGCTCAGGTGAGCTAAAAATATCATTATTCATGCCTTTGCTATTCTTGAGAAGAAGATTTTTCAAGGATTTTCCTATTTATTTCTATGTGAAATTTTGATCGGCCATTGTGGCCCCGCCCAAGCCCCAGGAGTCACGATTTGATCAAACTTGAATCTCCACTACCTGAGGATGCATCCATAAAAATATGGATATTCATGCCTATGCTATTCTTGAGAAGAAGATTTTTAAAGAATTTTTCTATATATTTCTATATAAAACTTTGATCAGCCATTGTGGCCCCGCTCTACCCCCAAGAGTCATGATTTGAACAAAATTGAATCTACGCTACCTGAGGATGCTTCCATAAAAATATGATCAGTCTTGCCTATGCTATTCTTGAGAAGAAGATTTTTAAAGAATTTTTCTATATATTTCTATATAAAACTTTGATCAGCTATTGTGACTCCGCCCTACCCCTGGGGGTCATCATTTGAACAAACTTGAATCTAAACACCTGAGGATACTTCCACGTGAGTTTCATCTTTCCTGGCCCAGTGGTTCTGGAGAAGATTTTTAGATCATTGCATCAAATTCTCACTACTGGTATTTCTAAATTATCTCCCCTTAAATACATGTAAAGGCATGGCCCTTCATATGAACAAACTTTCAATCCCCTTCACCTAAGAATACTTTATGCCAAGTTTGGTTGAAATTGGCCCCGTGGTTCTTGAGAAGAAGTCGAAAATGTGAAATGTTAACGACAACAACAAAGACAGACAATGGACAAAATTTGATCAGAAAAACTCACTTGAACTTTCGGCTCAGGTGAACTAAAAGTATATGATTTGTCAAACATGGTAAACATGGTAAAAAAAGGTTTTTAGTTATAGCAAACATAATCATAATGAATTGATTCTTACAAAAATGTGTTTTTTCGTTCCCTGTTGTTCTAAAATATATAATTATCAACTTGACAATTATAACAATTTATGTCATTATTCAGGAATTAAATGTCCCTGGCACTGTAAATGTGCTTTATTGTACAATAAAAATGCATTAGAACTAATTTACCGTAAAATCCCTTTTAACCGCCCCTGACCCTAAGCGCCCCCATGGCGTTTTTTCCATTGTCAGAAATTAAAATAAGGGCCTCCTCTACAGTGATCAAAATAATATAGCATCGTATCAAAAGTCTGCCACAAGTTGAAGAAAGTAATCATAAAACTTGTCTATTATCCGATATCTCAGTGGAAAATTAATCATTTAGTATAATTTGGGTGAATTGTCTTCACTGAGGGTAAATTTAAGTTAGACATTGTTCAGTTGTTCTATGAATTTATTTTTTTTCAAAAGATTTTTTGAAGTTAAAATATGACATTAACTTTTATCATGTTTATAATGAGATTACCAAAATAACTGCCCCTCTTTCCATCTTTTCCCAATTTTCGAAGCACCCGGGGATGGTTAATACTAATAGGGATTCTACAGTAATTCACCATTACATGTATAGTAAAAAATTCTTTTAACAAAGTGCCAAGGACAGGTTATTCTACTCGTAAATGTTGTTATATAAGCTTTACAATATGTTAAAACCCCTAAGAGGAATGAAAATAACTTCGATCTAGGTGTCAATCATAATAAGCCTGTTCAGCATGATAATCATGTTTATCCTATAACATTTGACAGTGTATAATATAGTTAAGTTTAACTTTAACATAGCAATTTCAGCTGTTAAATTCTGTAAAATTTACTTTTTATACTACAGGTATATGATCATGTTTTTTTTTAATACCTTACGGTAACAATAAAGTAATTTAAAGATATACAAGTGTTAATTGAGTATGACATCAATTGTATTGCAATTATTTACCCTATTATGTGTCACTTTTGATGCAACACATTCTGCCAGACTTCCAAAGGAAATGCCTACAATTTTGGAAGTTTCATCCTCTAAAATTACCCTGCATATTTTTCCATCGCCACTTTTGAAAGGGGCCACTTTTGTCTTTTCGTTTGTGAAGGAAAGTTTGGCCTTGATCCTCCAGCTGGAAAATAATTGGCAAATTTATACATTAGTAAATACATGAAATAGTTGAATCTGATTCATTGAGCATCATTCATTTAAAAAAAAAAATAATAATTACGCTGAAAAATGAAGCCATGCATGCCCTCTTGCATAGCAATTGTCAGTATTGGTTGATGATATGGTATTTAAAAAAAAGAATAGTAACTGTGCAAAGTTCAGTGTAATCTGTCATGGTAATATTTATCTGTATAAAACATTAAATATTACATTTGTATCAATACATGTATTAAATACTGCATGCATGTAGTTGTGGGTAACATTTAATATCTAACATTTAAAAAATATTTAACCAAGGCTGCACCTCGATTGACAATCATGACAACAATCAATCTAATTAAAATTAGATCTCTGATCCGCTCCAGTTTGATCGCTTTGTGTAGCGATCAAACTGGAGCGGATCAAAGATCTAATTTTAATTAGATTGGACAACAATTTTCTAGAGGATGAAATTTTTCAGTTACATTTATTATTTATTATAGGATCAAACATTCATTTTGCAGAATTTATTGATTTGTAAACTCATGCCTTTGTACTCAAAAACTGAATAAACAAGAGATGTTTGTAAAACACTTATGCCCCCCTCCCCCCAAATTGGAATTTTTCCAAGTCCAAAATGCATAACTCTGTCCAAAATGGTGCGATTGCGATTATACCCAAAACAGAACTTGACCTAGATATTCATGTGATATATCTGTATACCAAATTTCATTTTAGTATTTACAACGGTTGTGAAGAAAATGAGCGGAAACTGCAAATATTTGAAATTTTTCTAAGTCCAAGGGGCATAAGTCTGTCAAAAATGGTGCGATTGTACCAAAAGCAGAACATGACATAGATATTAACTTGATTTATCTGTAAACCAAATTTCATTTCAGTATGTACAACGGTTGCAAAGAAAATGAACGGAAACTGCAAATAATTGAAATTTTTCTAAGTCCAAGGGGCATAACTCTGTCAAAAATGGTGCGATCGTACCCAAAACAGAACTTGACCTAGATGTTCATGTGATATATCTGTATATTAAATTTCATTTCAGTATGTACAACAGTTGCAAAGAAAATGAACGGAAACTGCAAATGATTGAAATTTTTCTAAGTTCAAGGGGCATAACTCTGTCAAAAATGGTGCGATCGTACCCAAAACAGAACTTGACCTAGATGTTCATGCGATATATCTGTATATTAAATTTCATTTCAGTATGTACAACAGTTGCAAAGAAAATGAACGGAAACTGCAAAAAATTGAAATTTTTCTAAGTCCAAGGGGCATAACTCTGTCAAAAATGGTGCGATCATACCCAAGACAGAACTTGACCTAGATATTCATGTGATATATCTGTATACCAAATTTCATTTCAGTATGTGCAATGGTTGCGAAGAAAATGAGCGGAAACGAAGTGGACCGACAGACAGACCGACCGACTGACAGACAGCAGCAAAGCAATATGCCCTCCCTTCTTCGAAGGGGGGCATAAAAAGCGAAGCATCATAAAATTTCTTTTTATTATTAAACACTATATGAAACAGTGTAATGTTGACTTATTGTTCTAGGTTTGCTTATATCCAAAGTAGAAATGAGTCGTAATATGGTGGGACCTATGGAGTAAACAGTATCATGTCATACATTTTGACAAACTGAAAGCATGAAAATGCGAAAACAAGGAAAATTTATAATCATAATTATGACAAACAATACATGTACTGTGCAGTATACAGGGAAATGTTCACCTTTGTTATACCATATGATGGTGTATATACATGTAGCAATTTTTTTCTACCCAGAGGGAATTTTAAAGGCCATTAGGGTCCTGTAGTACCAGGCAGCTCAATTGAGAAAAAAAGCTCAAAGTAGAAGAAACTTATTAAGAAGAATTTTTTGTCATTTAAACAAAAGTAACATATCTTGCACATGTTGTGTTTAATTTATGAATATCATGACATTTTTAAATCCTGCTAATTTGTGAAAATTGTGAAATTCGTGTACCGGGTAAATTTGAAGAGAGAAAAAGCGTTGATCTAATCACCGAAATGCCCTTAGGAATCACTGAAATGCCCCTACTAATCACCGAAATGCCCCTAGAAATCACCGAAATGCTCCTAGGAATCACTGAAATGCTCCTAGGAATAACCAAAGTGCCCCTAGGAATCACTAGGAATTGTTGTCACTACACTACAGTAAATTCACAAATACTCTTGTTTCAAAAAGACAGCATAAAAGATCGATCGTCTCCTCACATGACATATGCTTTTATACTGATTTCTTTGTGTTTGAGTACGTATCATGCTTGGGTGAATTTACTCACAAAAACTCAGAATTCGGCTCTCATTATTTAATTTTCTAAGAATTTTTTTGAATTTTAATTACCGTACATAAAATACCTTGATAAAGGTATTTGTAATACCCTGATAAAGCTATATAGCTTTATCTCATACGTGTTGGTGATACAGGCCGTTGGATAAACTTATGCCTTATCAACGGGTAGATGCTTTATCAATAGCACTTCCGGTTTTGACACGAACCCTCGCTTCAAGATTTTATTTTATTGAAACTTTTATTTGTGAAAATTGTTGCACTTATAAAATGAATGATAAAGGGTAGCAATATCGTTAAAAGCAAGATGTCAAAGAAGTGTCTTATTTTATCAAGGAACCCGTTGGCTATTTGAAGACAGATGTTACCCCCCCCCCCCCCCTCTTAGATCGTTTTCGGAGAAAGTAAAGCCTGATGTACCAGTTAAGTTGTTGTTATAAGACTCCTTTGACATCTTTAACAATGCTTTCTTATATTATACTATTATATTATATGCCTACCTAGTAATGTAGGTGTAACTTACCATGGCTCAGCAAACAATCTAGACAAAGTCTAGGCCCCTAGCCTTGCCTAGCACGATTTGTACTGCCATCGTAAAAAGAGTTGATTTTCACGATCCCCATAGTCCTAACAACTTTCAGTCAGAAGTTCGTTTGATGTAAAGCTCCAGCAATTTTCACATGATGTTTTCAAAGACACAGATAGCAAATATTCTAAATTTTGAACTCGATCTACTTTCTCTCGACGCATGTAAACATCAACGGTGCTACGTCATCAAGTTATACGTCATCAATTTGATTTTTGGCAGTCATTCATGTAGTTTCGCAGGGGAAGTCTCAAAGTTTTGTTAAAACGAAAGTCGTATGAGATAAATAGAACATCTATAATTGTGTGATTTGATATTGGCTTTATCCAACTCGTTGAAATGGTGTATATTCGCTCGGCAAACCTCGCGAATATATACACCATTTCAACTCCTTGGATAAAGCCAATATCAAATCACACAATATAGATATCCTCTATTTATCAAGCTATATACCTTTATCGGGGTATTGTGCTGAACCTGTTCGTATCTTGTATATTAGCGAGCGCAGTGAGCGTCACGAAGCGACGCTCGTCACTGCAAGCTCTTAAAGCAACCCCTGTGCGAAGAGAAAATTCGAACTACTGCTCATTCGTTTGATAAAAATTTTTGACGCAGCAATTTGGACCCACAATGCACCACTTGTTAAAGCTTTGTTAAAACTTACGTTATTGCGAAAATAGCTGCAAAAATTCAACCAAAAGTAAACTAGCCCCGATTTAATGGATAATGGATAAAAATTGAAGATAAATAGAAAACGAAACATTCTTCATTTATTTTCAGCACTGTTCAGGGTTCTTTTTCGAAATGTAACTTGCATTCGACGTCATGTGACGTCATACATGTAGTCTAGAAGCACCAAATGTCACGTGCAATTTGACGACCCGATCTAAATTAAAACAAAATAAACATCTGCGCTCGCCATAACAGTAGCACCGTAAACATATTATAAATTAAGTTTAAAGTTATTTCTTTTGGCCTTGATTGATTTTTGACTTACTTGCTGGTGATCTTTAGATTCAGCTCTGCAATATGTTTCAGTGGAAAATTGTCAGTCTTTGCCATGAATACAAAATATTACTGTCAAAATTGCAATATAAACACTGACAGACCCCTCTCTCTGATAAAATCAAAGGAACTCTCGAGCTTTCCGATTTGATTTCCGCGGGAAGATATATGTATTTACGAAGCAGGACATCTATTCACAAAAAATCGTAAGTTTACGACTACGACTTTAACTTACGATAATCCTAAGATAAAAGTTACGAGCTATTCACGAAAGTGGTCGTAAGATTGACACACTGTCGTAAGTGAAAAACGGTCGTAAGATTTTCTTTTCCCTAGTTACCGACAACTGCTCATGCGCAGGTGACGCAATAAATGCGGGAAACCCGGTCGATTACGCAATCTTGATGTACAGTGATGTCGCCACTATATATACCATTATAGATTTCTCAGTTTCCGACTATATAATTCACTGCAACAAGACTGAAAAAATAAACACATATGTACATAAGTTGTAGGTAAGTATTGTTCAAATACCGGTATATATAAAAAGTAAAACTGTTATTCCTTTTTTAAAAAAAAAAGCATTCCCTTGCAATGTATGGTGTTAGGGGGGATAAAGTAACGCTATTGTTTGTTTGTTTGTGTGTCAGGAGGGGTGGGTTAAGAGGTACCGGTGAGTGCGTGCGTGCATAACGGAGGTTTAGCAAATAATACAGGTAACTCTCGAAACCTCGAAGTCCGCGGGACCGAGAGAAAACTTCGAGAGATCAAGAGTTCGAGTTTTCAAGAGTCCGGATTTTTCCGGGTTTGTTTGACAGGTTTTAAAATTAGTCATACCGGATGTAATGATTTTCATGCAGTTCTTACCTTTCACACGTGGTTTTAACAAATCAACGATATGTTTTCGTATTTTAAGTGAATATTTATTAAACTGAGTAAAGCAAAAAATGTACATCGTCAGTTTGTGTTTTTGAAATTTGTTTCTTATCATACGGATATCATTCTACTCAATCGTTACATGTATATGAAAACGACATAGACCAGCGTCGTGTGGTACATAGCATTGTGATTTTTCCAAACATGTGCATTGAACGAAATTCTGTATGTATTTGTCCAAAAAAGTCGTCATATTGACAGCGAGGCTGTTTCTGAATTTTCATATTTCCTTAAACTTTGAAACTGATTCGAAATAAAAATTTAATTCATTAATTGTTTCGTCTCGTAATCTGCAATTACAATTTCTCAGCGACACTACGTTTCTAAATTATCGTAATACAGACGATGATAATTATTTTGATAGCATATAGGCACCATAAGATTAATTATAAATCAATTATCACCTTGCAGAATAAGTTTCACCTGAATAAAAATCTCGTTTCACGAGACCTGCGTCTTCTGCCTGGGGTCATTAAATGTCCAGGTAAAGTTGCTAATTATGTAACTTTGTATACACAAAGCCACTTCGAGGTATCAAGGGTGAATTTCAATAGAATATGCACAGCGGGACTGCAATTTTACTTCGAGAGATCAAGGGTTTCGAGAGATCAAGAGTTCGAGAAATCAAGAGTAAATTTGCTTTGTTATATAAGGAAAAAATTCGGGACCGGAGACTCACTTCGAGCGATCAAGAACTTCGAGAGATCGAAGTTCGAGCCATCAAGAGTTACCTGTAATTCATATCAGGATCGAAATGCCTTATGCCCAGCCCTTTGTTAAAAAAAATATTCATTTTTTAAATTAAATCATTAAAAAAAATTAGCGCCATACAGAAAAATAAAGTCTGAAATATTCACACTTAGGCTAATTAAAACAATTTTACAAATCAAAAAATAAATTAACATTTGTGAAACCATGTTTTGTATAGGAAAAAGTATATGTTAAGCATTAATAAAAGACCATTTTTGCTAGAAAATGTTTTAAAATTTTATTCAAAGACCTCTTTTCAAGATCTATCAGTTGGAGAATTACAAATTCGATAAGAAAATATCAAATACTTTCATTCAGACATTGACCATACAAGCAGAAATTTTTAGCGAGAATGCAATTTGGGTATATATAGTATTAATATAGCGAGATTGTTGAGATCACTCACATGTAAAAAATCGCCTACAATTCATTCCATGTATGAGAAGTTATTTTTTAATATATATACGTATTTAAATCTCGCTACAGATTCCATTTACATATTATATATTCTATCTAATGGTGATTATTTGTCCATTTCATAGTGAAAAAATAGGCAACTCTTGAAAACAGAAGATAGTTCTTTCGAAGACTTATATTAGTAGCGCCCCATTCAGTATGTCCTAGACAATAAGTTAAAATGTCAATCTTTTTTCACCACTTTTGCAGGGAATTCAGCCAATTACATTGCCGACATGTAATGATCAGCCACCCCACTTGCAAACTTTCAATTTGCTACCGATGCCTATGGGGTTAAAAATATTTTACAATTAACAATAAGTATTTCATATTAGATTGAGGAAATTTACAGATTTTCTATGGGATATATATATTAAACATGAAGCTAATGATCCGAAGTACCCAGAGAGGCGACGTACAACTTGATGGGTGTTGCTAAAACGCGGAACGCAAAACGAAACGGAAAGCGGAACGGAACGGAAAACTTTTGTCAAACAAATAACATATATTCGATATAAATCAGATAAGAGAGCAATATTCTTGTTGTCAAAGTCATTTCTAATAAAACTTTATTGTAAAGTATTATAAATTCATGAGTCATACACACCCTCCGTTCAGAACTGGTGTACAAGCGATGCCCCTCTTTCAACAGGCCCCGTCGCAGATTAGGTCAAGGAAGGTCAAGTGGTAGCATTTGGGAAAAAAATGGTTGTGAAAGAAATTCGACCCCCCCCCCCCCCCCCCCCCCCCCCCCCCCCCCCCACAAAATAGGATTTTCGTGTTTGAGCAAAGGACACATCCCCCTTTTTTTGCTTGTCAAATTTTTTGTATGTTGGAATTTTTTTTACTGACCTCCCACCCCCTCTTTCAATTTGTTTCCAATGCCAATGTCTGTAAAGACAAAAATGGCCTGGGTATGGGCCCACAGCCACATTAAAAATTGATTTATTAAATCTTATGTATATTTTGAACACAAAAAGGGGGGCAGACCTATTATAATTACAACTCAGACCTTTCCGATGAGCGGGAAAACAAACTCATTTTTACAAGATCATTCATATACACCCCCCCCCCTCCCCAAACACACACACACATATGTACCGCAAACAAACAAAATTTAACTTCATGGAATGCAAAGATTCTGCATTATATCTACCAACTCTGTCTATCCAGAATTTAAATATATAGAAAGCGACTCTTGTTTGAATAAAATTTTAACAAGCAGTGTGTATTTATATAAGAGATGTTTATTCGAGCTTGCCGTAAAGGTTTACCCTAAGTGTAATCTATATAATTTTTTTTACATTTCATTTCTCTTTCCATGGTTCATCTAGATATCAAATATTTGCCCCCCCCCCCCCTTCATAACCTTTTTACTACGGAAATGTTCGTTCAAGTTGACATCCTCACACTTTTTGTGAATGTAATTAATGTAGTGAGTTAGTGTATAAAAATAGTACTGAAAGATGTTGGAGTTGAAACTTGTCCCCCTCCCGAATCAAACAATCGTTTTCTAAAATGTGTTTTATCCCCCCCTCCCGAATCAAACAATTGTCTTCTTTTTTGTGTTTTTGCTTGTCAAATACTTTTCAAGTTCGCCCCCTCCCCCTTTTCAAATTTGATTCTAGGTGAATGCTATGTTAGCGATTTTCGTAAATAAGAGACTGAGCACGACAAATTCAACTTGTATTTAAAAGTGGGGATTGAATATGTACAAAATATATCGTTTATTATAAAATTTGTGTATTTTAAGTGATTTAATCCAAAATAATATATTCCGTTTTCCGTTCCGTTCCGCGTTTTAGCAACACCCCAACTTGATTGTATCCATCATGCAGGGACGGAAAATTTTGATAGGTATAGAAAGCGCAGCTGATTGAGAAAATGGTGAAGATGGATTCAAAGTCATTTAACCATCACAAATAACTGAAGGTTATTATAAAATTAAAAGTTGTATATAACAATAAATATAGTTCTAAGGTATATTATTCAAATTTGAAGAGAAGCGAAAGAAAACACATTCGATTCGAGGCTATAGAATAAATGTAAAGTTTTTTAAAATTTAATTTAAAACAGAAGTGAAGTAATTTTATAATCAATATTGATTGTATACTAGTACATCTTGTCTCGGAAAAGTTAATTCTATAGTACGATTTTCCTCCTTATATCCCTGACATTAAAAAAAAAGTACAATGTTTTCCTATGGTAGCTATAGTATTTGCAGGCGTCGTATATTTTCTTATTACATATTCTTGAATAATAAAGTGACGAGTTCAAAAATTCTTTTTAAGGTAATATAATTAATAGATGAATATGATACCTCATTTTACATTGGAATTCGTGAATATTGTTCCAGCACGTTTTTTTATTCACCTGCAAGATTACGTTGCAATAATGTTGATAACTCATGCATGTGGTGCCCCTTTTCTGAAAATTGTTCTTTTTTTCATTTAAGGCCAGCGATTATCCCCTAAATTGATAAAATTTACTTTTTGCAAACTACTCTAATAAAAGTATCAATAAAATATTTTTGCTGAAAAGAGAATATAATTCTTTACCCCACCCCCTTTAAAAATTAAAAATTATCTACGCATAACCATTTTGTTGAAGGCATTTTTTTGTCCTTTTATATTTATATTTTTTGCATTAATAATATAGTTTCATGGTATATAGACATCCCTTTTTTACTTCCTCGGTAAACGGCATCATTTTCCTGTTGGTCAATGATTCAAACAGATGTGCGCTGACCCAAAATATTAGTCTCCCTGGCTCCGTTTTGTTTAAATTTTATGATAATGCTAATGGCTAATTTCATTTTTAGAGTTGATATTTTATGTAGTATTTATAGACTTACGACAACCCAAGACTAGACGTAAACTTACGACTGTTTTTTGACGTAACGTCAATCGTGCGATTTTTTGTGAATAACCAAAATCTTACGAAAAAATCTTACGAATATCTTACGACTACGATTAGTCGTAAGATTTTTTGTGAATAGATGTCCAGAACCGTATCATATCCGGATAAAAGAAAGCGGTTGCTCGACGATTCGTTCCCGTAGCATAGGAGTTCGCGTACCTTCAATTTGACCGAAATTTTCAGTAAATAAAAAAAATACGTAATACCTATAATAATAACTATTACGTTTTTTTTTTTCATTTATTGAAAATTTCGGTCAAATTGATATAGGTACGCGAATCCTGTGTAATGAGCGAATCGTATGTATTAAAGAGTGACCATGGTAAAAATGATGAATAACAGTGACCATGGTAAAAATGATGAATAACAGTGACCATGGTAAAAATGATGAATAACCGTATTAGTTACAGGTACTGTGTGTCTATAAAAACAATGTTATTGATATGTATACATACATGTAGATAATGATATTATTTTATAGATATCATATGTATAAATCTTTAATTTGAGCACAAAATTATACCCTGTTGCTAGATCTGATGAAATATATACCCCGTATCACAGGCAGCTAGAAGTGTTTCTGTAATAATTTTGCAGCGAGGATACCTGATTCAGAAGTAGATATTGGATACATGCAGGACATTTGAACCCAGTTTAGATGAACTTGCATCTTAATACACGAACACCTTTGTCATAGAAAAGGTAGTCCGAAAAATCTGACGTTTTCCTGGCTTTTTAACGATGGGGATATTTTACCGGCCAGCTGGAAAACAGTTAACTTATATCAAAATCGTTAAAAAGCCAGGAAAACGTCAGATTTTTCGGACTATAGAAAAGGGTGCAACAGGTGGTTTTCTAGCTAGTTTCTTTAATTATGACTAAAAAGCCAGTTTAAATTTTTATGAAAACGAAATACTGCTTTGAGACTAACGCTAAAATCACTATGCTACATCACTCATGGTGCTTTTAGGCATTTGAATCATGTTTGTGATACATGTATGACCCGCGACTTAATGGACTTGAAGTATATCTCGAAAAGATGCGAATGTTGTGTCATAAAAGTGTTCTTTTAAGGTATAGTGGGTCTTCGCTCCATGTTTTTGTAAACCAAAAAATATGTATTTTATTGTAAACTTTTTTTCGATCATCTTTAAAAGAATGGAGCGAAGACTCACTCTTATTGAAAAATTTTGTTTAAGTATGAGAAAATGATGGGTTTTTTTTTCTTTTTAGTGTGTGTATCCTTTTTCATAGGCAAATATTTTCAGTCTTAGTGAGATTTTTGTAAATTGTAGAGATTTTAAATTAAGTATACATTAATATTAGATGAAATATCAAATAAAATTTGGATATAATTGAGATTGATTTTTCACTTCTTATCTGTCGCACTATAGGCACTTCGCCCGCCTTATCCACCCATCTTCTTTGTTGAAAAACAAGTTCAGCTAAATTTCGTCAAATAAAATAAAATTTACAGTATTTCATTTTCCTTTACACTTGTTATTTGGTGAAAAGGATGTAAAATGGTTCTGTAAAAGATATATGTAAGGGTTAATGTACGAGTAGCGCTCCATTCCTTAAAAGTAATGGAGCCGAGGCCCCTAAGGGGCTGAGGCCCATTACCTTTAAGGAATGGAGCCCTACGAGTATATTAACCGGCGTAAAATCCGCCTTTCTGAATGCATGTTTTTATTGTTTGTTAATACATAATAAAGAATATTTATATGATACATTATAAATACTCTTTACATATTAGTGGTATTATTTATATATATGTTTATTCACCAATCAAGGGCCCTCGGGAGCATGAACAAATTATTACAATATGATTACTCATTACAATTCTATATTATTTATATATAATATAGAAAGAAAAACTAAATAAAGTGTACTGAAGTTAATCTAAACCCATGTATCTCAACAGCTAATTCGTTAGCTCAGTGAAATGAGGATCGGATTGCTAAGGTAAGGGTACCAGGTTCGATTCTCAACATGGGTGATCTAATTTCCTTAATGTGAAACTAACCTTTACAATTTTCTAAAACTCTTCTCTAAAAATTTTTAAGTTCTTTCCTTCGTAGAGGCACGGAAAGGAGAATAAAACCATTACAAATTCCGTTTTCAATGTAAGTTGCAACTCTCCATTCCTTAAAAGTAATGCAGGGTTCAAACAAAAGAATGACGTCACAGGTGGATTTAACTTTAATTAAATTCCCAATACCTTTCTTATTAGCCCTTATTGCAAGCTGTGATACAAAGGCAAATTTAGCATAACGGAATAATTCTCGTTTTTCAAGTCAAAAATGTGAATTTTATTCTCGCCATGGCTGCCCAACATTAGGATGGTCCTGCCCAGTAGTGTGCCACCTGACAGAAATAAAAATTTTATCATTTTCCTTACTTTCTTTAAACTCCTTATTTCATAAAAATGTTAAATTTGTTCCTACAGGCTTCGAAAAAAGATACAGTAGTTTAAAATATACATTTGATGCAACTAAAATTGGGGAAGAAAAAGTCTTGTTCTGTTTTTTTTTAAACAACCTTGGAGATTTTTTTTATTTACGGTATTATCTTCTTTGAAGAAAATCTAGTATTTCTATATTTTAAAGATGAATCATGTTTGGATATGAAATAAAGCCATTGAGAACATACATACATATTGCATACTCCATTCCCACAACTAAATCACAAGTATATTAAGATAAACAAAGGAAAATCATAAACCTTAATTGTATTCAGCAAAATTTGTTTAGTACGAACATGGATATTGCGAATTCACGGACATAAACCTAGCTATCTTAGATCCCCAGCTATATAAATTTAATAAATTCTTCATACGGATAATTTATATGTCCCAGTGACTTCGTTTTAAGCGAGTTTTACTGTAGTTCCTCCACAGTAAATTAATTCAACTCCGAACGTCTTTTTTATTTTGTAATGATTGATTTAAAAACTTAGAGCCGTAGTATGATAAAAATGTAGTTGTACCCCCGCTTGAAAAGTGGGAGGGTATGTATGTTGGTCCGTCCGTCTGTACGTTTGTCTGTCCGTCCGTCTGTCTGTTATGCTTTGGAGAGCCCATCTCTTTTCCGCAACTCCGCTTATACCACTGAGTGAAATTTAATGAAACTTTCACAAAATCTTTATCAAAAAATGCCATTGTGACCTTAATTCTATTTTACTTTTTGATCCGACACATATTTTAGGTTTCCCATAGCATAACATGGACATTGCCATTATATTTATTTTTACATTGAGTTAACTTTAAATCGACACATCTTGATAGTTTCAACACAGGAATTCGCGTACCTATCAATTTCACCGAAATTTTCAGTAAATAAAAAAATACGTTATCCCAATAATAAGTTTTTATTATACGTATTACGTATTTTTTATTTACTGAAAATTTCGGTAAAATTGATAGGTACGCGAACTCCTGTGGTTTTAATTACAATGTACATGTAGCTAAGATATAGCAGTATATTGTATACACATACTGAAAGGAAAAAGAACCACATAAGAGCATAATATATGTATGCGAAAAAAATTTGACTATGTGACGGAAAATTATGAAAATTGGTCAGATATATATATATTTTGGTTACTTGCACTAAAATTACACAACCGTGAAATGTATGGCGCCAAGTAAGGGAAATGATGAAAAGCCAAAAACACGTGCATGTTGATGATGACAATTTCGTTATCACATTTTGTAATGCCAAACGATGCATTATAATTATAGACATCGGTTTTGAATATTTGCAGTCAGTGTATAATTTTTTTGCAATCATGGTATGGCTGAGGGAAGTTACATGCTCTGCTCAAAAATTGTATTGTTAAGGAAGTGTTGAGACTATTGGCCTGTATCAAACTTGAGTTTTATCTCAAAAATATTGGAGAAAGTTGTGGCTCGCAAGGATTGATGCCCGTTTGGATGCGAATTCTCTTCGCGATCCACTTCAGTCGGCATATCGTCCCAGGCACTCCACGGAAACGGCCCTCATCAAGGTCCACAACGATATTGTGACAGCCCTAGACCAACAATCTTCAGCAGTCCTTGTCCTTCTGGATTTATCCGCTGCTTTTGATGTTATTGACCATAATATATTGTTCCAACGCTTAACTGTGTCTTATGGTTTCCGTGATGGAGCTCTTGAGTGGATCAAGTCTTACCTCAAGAACAGAAAACAATGTGTCACAATTGGATCCGTCCGATCAGAGTCTAGACAGTTGCCTTTTGGTGTCCCCAAGGATCTGTACTCGGACCGAAATTGTATTGCCTCTTCTCCAAACCCATTGGAATCATATGCCACCGACGGGGAATGATATATCACTGCTATGCAGATGATACACAAATCTACATGATCATAAGACCACTGGAAAATTGGAACAATTATTTCTCTCGACTTGAAGCGTGTCTTAGTGAAATTTGTTCATGGATGACATCAAACCTACTCAAACTAAAATAAGAAAAGACCGAGCTAATAATCTTCACCACAAAGCAACACCATGCAGAAGTATCTGCCAACATTACAGCTAAAAGTTGGTGATAATATCATTGAAAGCGTGCCATGTGTAAAAAATCTAGGTGCATTTTTCGATCAACACCTCACTATGGAAAAACAGGTATCCTCGGTCGTCAAGTCATGCTATTTTCAAATAAGCAATATTGGACGAATACAGCGCTTTCTTACAAAAGAAGCCTGCAAGACCATGGTGAATGCCGTTATCACTGCCATGCTGGACTATGGGAACTGCCTTCTATATGGAGTGTCAAAGGCCTTACTAGACCGGATTCAAAAAGTCCATAACACGGCAGCTCGTTTAGTTACAAGATCATCGAAAAGGGAGCATATTAAACCTATCCTAGCTGATCTTCATTGGCTACCTGTTTCTTTTCGTCCACAATATAAAATCTTGACATATGTCTACCAATCCTTACACGGGTTAGCTCCATCGTATATCAAAGGTCTTATAATGGAATACAAGCCTACCAGATCACTGCGCATGCGATCTGAGTCAACATAAAAAAAAAGAAATTAAGGGGGATGTACGGCCACTTTTAGTGCAGTGAGAGCAAAATGTAAACATTTCTTCAAATGGCTAAAATACATTATATTTTTATCAAATTTTAAGTCTTTTTGATAAAGATACAATAAATATGCATAACCGAATGCATGTTGTGCATATATAATCTATACTCTTGCAGAAAAATGCTTTTGATATGCTCCTCAGAACTGCGCAGCTACAGAATTCACCAGAACCTTAAAAAATCCAAAAAAATATGCAAACTGTGCGTTAATGTTCTCTCTACAACCATTTGTTGAGAAAATGTCTAAATTTTGCACTTTTAATTGATAATTTCAAGTTCTAAACTAGGTACCATTGTCTTCAAAAAGAGTTTAAAAAACCATGAAAGTAGTTCATGGATAGCAGCACGTGGTCTATTTTTAGCACAGAATCTTGTTTTCCAGACCTCTTCTTAATATGGAGGGCCATAACAATCTTTAAATGTAGAAGAGAATTACAGTTGCAAAATATTTCAAATAATATGAACAGTTTTAAAAGAGAGAAGGTGTTATAGTGTGGCTTGAAGTACTTCATTTAGTATTATTAATTATCAATGCCAAGAAAACCTTAGCATTCTTTCCGTATAGCTAACTCAATAAAAGCCGAATTAACATTAATCTGTGATTCTTCCCCTGGGAGACGCGCGGAAACAATTTATGTCTGCAGTTTTGACGGAGGGATCTTAAAATTTACTGGGTTAAAATTATAGATAGAATATTAGTTATTTAGAAGACTTTGCCCCCCATTGTCTTTTTCGGGTGGGGGGGGGGGGGGGGGGTGAAAATAATTATAGTAAAGTAATTCTTTAATAAAATAAGCTGCCTTTCAATTTTTTTGACGTAATTCAATTTCAAAATATTTTTTCTCAGTACAAATAAATTGACATCCGGTAGTTGTGGAAGTACCGCGTCGAAATATAGATAAAAGAGTACCAAATTTCTGGAAGTTTACATCATTTCCTGGTTGAACAAGATGGAGACAAATACTGTTACCCGATTGGCTATGCGTATATTTTCATTTTAAAGTGAATATTTTCTTTTGATTGATTTTTTTTTCTTATTTTCTTCAGGCCGGAATTAAAAATATCTTTGTGTACCCTACCCCGACCCAAAATTCTCAAGTTGGGTCGGTAGGTAGGTAAACAATTTTCTTTTTCTGACAGCAGCTTTGAAAATACATTCTAAAATTTATTGGAAATTTACCGTTCTAAATAAGAAAAGTACGAAAGAAAGCGATTTGTGAATAAAATGTTAAGTATCATACATAGGCCGTTTAAAAGCAAATTCATGATTAACTGTTATTAATATGAACTTGTGAAATATCTCAAGCCAGAGTACATTTCTATGAATCTAATAAAAAAGACAAGGTTCTAAAATACGCAAAGATTGGACTAGATAGAATGTTCTATCGTTAAAATGATATTGTCCTACGGACCCGGTTTAACGATAGAATTCGTTCCGTGTACTCGTAATGTACACTGTAGCAAAAAGAATAACCCGCATAGTGCATTTACTATGAACAATCTAGAGTTCCGAATGTTAACATTTGAATGGAGAGAAAAACGTTGAGAAAATAAATTGGATTTACGTATTTAAATGGATTATTTTTTGGGATAAAAGGCATAAGCAATCTGAAGAAGGTTTGTTTTGATTATTTTGGTAGTTATTCCCAGTGCAAATCATTTTATATTCTTCAAAATCGTTTCGGAGCGGATCCGCTCCGTTTTGCTACATTACAAGTATATGGGACGTATTCTAACTGTGGTGAGGGCCTCTACCGAGAAACAGTTAGATTATTCTAACTAAGATCGGACATCCGAGTATATTTGTTCAAATCATTCATCAGCCCCCACTGCTTATAGACAATCTATTAAACTTTTTTGAGGTGCATGAGATTTGCAGTGGTTCTAGAGCATTTTGCTTTGGATTAAGATGTGGTTAATTTTAAGTCGCAGCTTCAAATCCCAGTGATGAACATTGAATTCTGAGCCTTTCAATAGGGACTATAAAACTCTTGTCCAGTGTCAGAATAGGTTGGCTCAAAAAAGATCCATTACTACTAAAGGGCAAAACAATTGCTGAGTGTACGTCTAAATTTGGAGCAATGGGAAAATGTTCAAATGTCGCCCAAACAAATCTTGAAGGAATTTTAAGCAAAGAAACAACAAATCTTCAATGGCCCAATTAAAGAAAAATACACCATTTTTTGAAAGAGTATGTAAACAATATTTAATTGAAATAAACGCAATCTACAATCGATAAAAGGGCATCTAAATTATATTTATCGGGAAAAATATCAGACATATTTACAACTCCTAATATAAAGTTCCATAATGGCATATACCGGTAGAAAACATATGAACACAGTTGAACCCATTATTCGGTTTAACCTCAAATTAAATAAAATTCAGTGAAACTGATGTGTTCACTAGATGGGCCTCTTACCATTGTTTTATGAAGACCTAATTCTCTGTAATCACATCTGGGCGCCATGTTAATGAATGCTTGAAAATCCCAGTAGAACAATGTAAGTCGTTCTGATAAAAACTGATTCTGAGGAATTTTATATTTCATGGAAACTTGGTTAACAATACTCTGATATTAAAAAAATATTTGCCCACGAGAAATTTTCAAAAAGTTAATTAATTTATTTGAAAAATCTTTCCAGTCGGTGTGATTGAAATAATTAGAATGATAATTGAAAACAATCTTTTTGCCAGCTAAATTTTTTTTAATTGATTTTTTTTTTTATTAATTAAAAAAGGGGAGATAACTCTTAGCAAAATTCAAGGTGATGAATTAGGACACATCCCACTAAACATACTTATAGTTAGTGGAAACAAAGGTATTTTTTATTTTGGCCTCTGTCGCGTTAGGGGAAACAATAATTTTTTTTTTTAAATAAACGTATTTTGAAAATAAAGATATTTGACAGTAACTTTTAGGGTATTTTTTGTACTACTTCCTGGGGTAGAAGTTTATTTTTTCTTTAACTAAGAAAGCTTAAAACCTAGGATCCACCCCCCAAAAGTCTGCTGTCGTAAATTGTCTTGCTGGCGTTTTGGGAATATGGCTGATTTGCATCAATTACACTTTTATTGACTCCATCGCTGTCCAAATCGGACGATATTTCTTGGCATGGAACAGCTGTTATATAGTTTACGTATTGATATAAAAAAAATTTAAACTCTTTGATTCCAGGCAAGGAAAAATGAGCACCATCAAAGTTAAAGATTAAGAGTTTGTAAGTTTGCCACAGATGAATTATATTATCTATTAAAATTTAATTATCTACAATAAAACACAAAGAAATTAGACACATATGAAATTGATACGAATGACCTTGTTTTAGTACCTACTAGTACGAAGTGTTATCAAAAATTTACGAAATATAGAATCTCTATATCTACAAAACCACAGTTCAGATTAGATAGCCAAACACAAGGTTATAAATAGCATATGCTGAAGTTTTGATCCTTGTTTGTGATTTCACAATCTGAAAATGACGTCATTATTCAGGTACTTTTGACGAAAAATGGTTACAAGTCTCAGTGGAACTCGTGCAGTCGTGGCACATGTATATCTTAGAAATGCATTTGAAGTAGCATATAAGAATTTTTTAGCATGTTTAGTGAAGGAAGGCAGATGGTTAAATATGATACTTGTTATGTTGCCCGGTGAAAGCAAGTTTGAAAAGGGATGTGTTTTTAATAAAGCAATATGCTATCAAAGACCTTCAATTAAAATTTTACACTTTGAAAAATACTTGAATATTTCAACAATAATATAAATATCAAATACCTAAGATATTAAATGTTTACTTTTTGATCACCCCTCGTATACTGTGTCAAATCATTACAGAGGAGCAACAGTTGAAAAGGCATGAAATCATGCAGAGTGGGTTAGGAGATTTAATGAATAATTTTTTTTCTATTTGCCCATATTTTCAAAATTACAATTGTACAAAGTAAAGAGAAAAAAATCAACCTATAAACATCTTTAAAATGATGTTTGGTGGTCCTCCCAACTCAGGGAAAAATTATTGGGTCCGTATTTATAGGTGAGAAAAAAATCCTTAAAATTTAAACAGAATTGTTGACGGAAGAAAAAGAAAAAATATCGTGTAATGGAATGTTAAAAAAATGAGTCGGGCCATTTCTAGGCAGTAGATCGGGAGAGAGGGCAACCAAATATTTCTATAACAAGTGGTATTATAAGGCTAGTGCATGTTCCATCACATACTTAGTCATGCAATTTTTTTTAATCTTTGACACTATTTTGAAAAACAAACATAGGATTTTCGGGGGGAGGGGGGGAAGGGGGGGGAGTTAGCAATCACTTTTTTGCGATGATAGACATAGCATATATGCAATGGGTCTTTCTTTGCAAATATTGTGCTCGCTTCTAACTTTCATAGAAACAACTCATTATATTTTATCAAGCTTCGTATGTTCAATGAGCGAAGGCTTACAACGTTGTCAACATAATGAGACATGATGCGTTTTTGTGTCCAAACATTACTCCATACAATGTGTGGGTCATTGCAAACATTCTACCTATTTATGTGAGGTGCCTGAAGGATATTCTATAACTGCCTATTTTTTCTATTTAACTTCTAAACAAAATAGACATATGTACCAACTTTTCGAATGTAAGACATGTAATTATAATTTATTTATCATGCACTGCATATTGTTTAACATTTTCAAATTAAATGCTAAGCATCCTCCTTGCAGTGCCCCATTTGAAAATAACTTATATCGCCACAGAAAAAAGACCCATCGAAAACACATATGTTTAGGACATTTTTATCTTTTTTTCTTGAGTTTTAAAGAAACCAACAAATTATCAAGACTTGTTCCATAAAAATTAAATATAATCATGGTAATCAACGGATTTATCAACAGCAGATATATGCACATGCCAACCATGTGCTTAGTGGAATAATATTTACGAGGA